CAGAGTTTAATCTTCAGCCTTCCACCTTTAGGGTTTAGGGTTTAGGGTTTAGGGTTTAGGGTTTAGCGTTCAGGGCTTCGACTTCATTCTTCACGTCCCACGGCGTCACTCCTAGGGTTTAGGGTTTACGGACTACCTGCTGCGGGGAAGGGTGTAAAGGCTTTAAGTATCAGTGATTTGATATTCAGGACAAGACCCTAGGGTTTAGGGTTTAGGGTTTAGGGTTTAGGGTTTAGGGTTTGCCTGTCGGAGCAGTTCGTCGAAGCACTGTGCGAACAGTTCTTCGCGGACTCTGCAGACTCCGAACTGCTTGGCCTTGAGGCTTTTTAGTCTCCTTTCGAGTTCTTCTTCCAACTCCAAAATGTCTCCTTTTGTCCCCGGCTGAGTGGAGACACTTTGGGCCCAAACTTGGCCGCCTTCGCTCCACTCTCTTGGGGGGAGGATCGAGTTTAGGAGGTCTTCGGTGCTCCCCACAACTCGATCCCGATCCCGATCCCGATCCCGATCCCGATCCCGATCCCGGCCTGCGCGGGGGCCGCGGCAGGCCACGCGGGAGGGGCTGTAGCGCAGCAGCGACGGCTGCATTCTCCTGCTGCTGCTGCTGCTGCTGCTGCTGCTGCTGCGGGGAGAAGGCGGGTTTGGGGGGCAGGCGGTTTGCTGCTGCTGCTGCTTGGCAGTGGCGGGGAGTCGGGTTTGCTGCTGCTGCTGCTGCTGCTGGTCGGGAGCGTGCTGCAGCAGCAGCAGCAGCAGCAGCGCAGCTACAGACAACGACGCAGCAACAGCTGCAGCAGCAACAGCAGCAGCTGCTGCAGCAGCAGCCAAGCAGCAGCAGCTGCCGCTGCTTCACTTGCTGCTGCAGAAGCCCAAGGCTCCTCCAGCCACTCCTGCGCCCGACTGTGCTGCCCAGCAGCGCAGCAGCAGCAGCAGCAGCAGCAGCAGCACCAGCAGCAGCAGCAGCAGCAGCAGTGGCAAGGAAAGAGACGCAAATAATAAGAAAAAAGACTTTTTCCTTTTTGATTTTTAAATATTTAAAATTAGTTTTTCACGGCGTCTCAACGTCTGCTGGCTGCTTCAGGAGGTGACCTTGAGACCCAAACCCTAAACCCTAAACCCTAAACCCTAAACCCTAAACACTGAATCGTGGCGTCTCGTCCCAAGCCCAGGATCAGCAGCGAATAAAAGAATGCTTTTAACAAAAATTTTCAAGTTTTCGAGGCCGGCAGCAAGGCTGCAAACCCTAAGCCCTAAACCCTAAACCCTAAACCCTAAACCCTAGCCAGGTCCCGCCTCGCAGCGGCGCTGCAGCGGCTTCCCGCGCAGTTGCTGCAGATGCAGAGTGGGTCTTTGTTTAGAAAGCAAGCTGCAAAAGAAAAGCTTTGGGGCCAAACCCTAAACCCTAAACCCTAAACCCTAAACCCTAAACCCTAAACCCTAAACCCTAAACCCTAGCCCGGCTTGCCTGCTTCTGTGGCTGGGGAGAGAAGTGACCCCGCGTCCCTTTTCCGCCGTTTGGCGTTTTGCGTTTTTTATTTTAAATTAATTTCCAAAATAAATCTGTTAGGGTTTATCAGCAGAAAAGCAAAAGGAGACAATAAAGACACAGCGCCCCAAACGATCCCGATCCCGATCCCGATCCCGATCCCGATCCCACTGTCTCCTTTTCCAGAGCGTCTGTGGAGTCCCCGGGGCCATCCCGGCCCTGTTTCCGGGCTCCGCGCAGCGCCGGCCCGCGCCCCCCAAACCCTAAACCCTAAACCCTAAACCCTAAACCCTAAACCCTAGAATGGCGCCTCCCGCGACTGCGGAGCAGGTGCAGTGTTTGCTGCAGAAGTGTGGGGCCGCGGGCGTTAGTGTGTACGAACACCTCACCGACTTAGTCGCTGCTTTAATAGCGCAGCAGCCCGAAGACCCTTACGAGGCTTTCGAGAGAATTTCCGAGTCTTTGAAGGTCCTAAGGGGGACTAAGCAGTCCCGGGGGGCCCCCAGTACCCTGGGGGCCCCCCCCCTGGGGGCCCCCCCCCTGGGGGCCCCCAGTACCCTGGGGGCCCCCCCCGCGGGGGGCCCCGCGGCCCCTGGGGGGCCCCCCGCGCAGGGGCCCGCTGCCCCGGGGGCGCCAGCCCAGGGGGGCCCCCCCGAAGCGGGGGGCCCCCCTGGGGGCCCCCCGGGGGCCCCCCCGGGGGCCCCTGCGGGGGGCCCCCCGGGGGGCCCCCAGGGGCCCCCCGGGCCCTCTGAGGAGTGGCTGAAAGCGACGCGGCGGCTGCTGCAAACTGCAGACCCTCGGAAGGAGACAGAGTTGAACTTGGAGTTTGAAAACTTCGAAGAAACCAACAGACTGCTGAACTGGGGGGGAAAAGGGTTTGCTGCAGCAGAGGCTTTTCGAATAAGTTGTGCGCTGCGGAGACTGGCGGAGACAGTCCCTGGAGTGGTGTTTTGCAGGTTTTGGGGGAAGTTGTTGGGGACAGAAGGGGACTATATAGTGGCGGAGACCAAGCTGCTGCAGCAGCAGCAGCAGCAGCAGCAGCAGCAGCAGCAGCAGCAGCAGGAGGAGGCGATGGACCCGCGCGGCAGCGGCAGCAACAGCTACAGCTACTTCGTGCTGCAGGGCGACAGCAGCAGCAGCTGGGTGCTGCTGCCGGATGTGCTGCCGAGCCAAATTGCTGCAGCAAAGCAAATCAAAAAGCTGCTGAGTGGAGACCTGGACAGACCAGTGGTCTCTTTTCCCTTTTTCCCGGGAAGAGAGAGACACTACTTGCGGGCCCCGAGGAGGAGGAGGACTCCGAGGGGCCCCTGCTGCTGCAGCAGCAGCAGCAGCAGCAGCAGCAGCAGCAGCAGCAGCGGCGGCTGCGCGAGGAAGACCCCGTGCTGCCGCTGACGCGGGGGCCCCTCGAGGACCCCCCAGTACCCTCGGGGGGCCCCGCGTGGGCCCCCAGACTCGTCGGAGACACTTGCTGCCCCCGAGGAGGAGGAGGACTCCGAGGGGCCCCTGCTGCTGCTGTTGCAGTGCTGCGCAGCAGAAGCTGGCCGGGGGCCCTCGCAGTGGCCAGCAGCAGGGCCTTCGCCTGCGCCTACTGCGGCTGGGGCCTCCCCAGGGGGGCCCCCCCCTTCGCCCCGGGGGCCCCCCTGGAGGTCCAAAGAGACCCCACAGACTTCGAGGAGGCCCCTGAGCCTCGGCCAGGAGACGAAGAGCTTTCAGATGGAGCTAGTCATGATGAGGAGACTGAGAGCCTCTCAGAAGTGCAAGAAGAAGAAGAATCCGTTCAGGAGGAGGCCTAAACCCTAAACCCTAAACCCTAAACCCTAAACCCTAAACCCTAAACCTGGGAG